AAGAAAAGTGTCGACTAGAACGTTATGTTTTGTGGTTATTTTTAGTAACGTGAATTTTACTTTCCATCCATATTTGAGTGTTTCAACGTTGCCCTTTGTTTAGCTTAATGAAAAGGACGCATTACTTTTGGAAGATGAGGACTCAAATGCGAAGCAGAATAAAGAGGTCCTCTAGCTTCGATTCTCTTAATCCTATAATGATATGGTGTTAACAGAATTTGAAGCCACTCATTCAAGGGCTATCATGGTCCCTAATTTAGATCTGCACAGCATTCTAAAGTGGTTCCTTGGATGCGCAAAACGCAATATATTTCATCAGAATTCAACAGATTCGGTGTAGCAGCTGATAGGTGAGTGAATTTCTCCTCCGCATTTGCGTCGTCGTCCATTCTCATTATTTCAGTAGTGAATGTATTCTAGGCAAGAAATCAAGGTTGGATATAACCTTACCAAGAATAAGGAGAACTTGAATATCTTCCGCGACAGGCAAAGCCAAATCACCTTAATCACGAAATCTTTCGAGGACGTAGGTTCACATTTTCCCATGTATTTTGGAATGTGTTATGTCGTAATTTCCTCATTTATTTCCAGAGCAAAGTACCGATTCGGAAACACTTCACAAAGAAAGGCGTCACCGCCGTGGAGGAGATACCCATTTTACCAGATTTCACGGTAGTTAAATTAGCAGCATTTGTTCCGTCACATCTGTGATTTTATTACCTGATATTTCATTTATTAAACTGTGTAGTTTTCACATTTATTAAGCTTGCCTATTGCTGATTTCCGGCATATTTCAGCTTTGGAAATATCCTTTCGCAGTAGTGCAGTTCGACGTGGATCCTACTCCAACGAATTTCGCACCTGAGCTTTGCGACAGTATGGTCACGCAAAGTTACATCAAGTAATATCCTTGATAACTTTCGTGGATTCTTGAATAGTTGTGTTTTTCTCTATCTAGGGGGATGCAGGACGATGATGGCGAGCAATTTGTGGCACATTTTATTCCGACGGTGGAAACCCTACAGAAGACACTTAATGACAAGGAAGAAGGTCGAAGTTTTGAAGAAGGAGCAGTGTGAGTTTCCTTCACGCATCCATCATTCACTATCTCTCATTGAGTATTCAAACAGATACGAACATACGTTAAATCGCGAGTATACTTGGACAGTGAGAATAAAAAATACGAAAGGCTTCGAACGCGATAACTACTTCGTATACTACAAAGATGGATGTTTCCATTATAATGAGCTAGAAACTAAAGTACGGCTGGCACGACGGCGCCGCGCAACTCACGAAAAGGTTCGAGTTGCCATATTTTTCCCTTTCCGATTTCTATTTCCTTTAAATTTTTGTTGGTCCTATCTGTGGGGTGTTCGTTGCCCTTTCGGCTTTGGCAAGATTTTATGATCAACTTTCGCAGAATAAACTTTCCTTACAGCCCAACACGCGTTTGAATATTACATATACGGTCCCGACTGAGGTTGAAATGCAACAGATGACGAGTAGAATGAACTCTTTGCCTCCGAATGACAGGCAATCAGCTACATTTGTAGGAGATAGTTGCTTTGGAAAATGCGGTACTTACAAGTAGGATTCGCTTGTACCGGATCAGGTGAAAGCAATATGATATACCCGTTTGTCTGATTCCCATGAATAGTGTGACTAATAAATGTTAGACTTTGTACACCTCCACACCCTTTACCCATTTTGATTTTCTCCTTCTGTTCCGTAAACTTTTATTCGTTTGATGGACAAGTCCTTATATTCAGTCTTGTTATTCATGTGAATGAATGTTACGGGTAAAGCACGTTGTTTTCACTTGCTCATATGATGAAAGCGCATCCTACTTGTAAATCTAGCTGTACACACACAGCGCATTTTTTATTTCCTTTGTCTTCCTTTCCAATTTCTTTTCCACTTCTGTGTATCGTTCTTTTGCAAAGCTACGTACTTGTTTAGCTGTATAAAACGATAGGATTAATAGCCTTGAACTGTGTTACTTAGATTACATTTTTTGCAATTAGTGCTTCTCCATCAAAGCTCTCAGGGTGGTTTTATCTTGCCTCCCTGCTTTCGCAGCGCTGCACTCTGTATCGTATTCCAGACCTTCCTCGGTTACTGTGAAACGCAAAAAGAAATTGTTTTCAGACAAGGCATCGGATAAGTCTGACCACGAAGAGCAGCCAGAGAAGGAAAAGAAAAAGAAAGTTGAATCGGGTGGTTCAGAAGGCTCAAATAGCGAAAAGGTCAGAAAGTTCTAGAATTCTCTTTACTCTCCCTCTTAACTTCCAAAAAGTGATTTCCAAACGTTAACGAACGGGGATCCCTTTGTTGTTTTTGTTGGTCTTCTTGTAAATTGAAGCAAAGCGGTGTGTGGCACAAAACAATGAAAGCGTTGCTTAAAATGGGAAAAATTTCATTATTTTCAGGAGAATAGTACGGATAACGAGAAGGATAAAGATGGTGATAGTGATGATGGTGATAGCGGTAGTGAAAATAAAAAGAGTGAAAGCGAAAAGGACAGTACGGATGAAAGTGACTGACGCTGATTCCAGGTATGAGCTAAGCAATAAAAACTGTTTATTACAATGATCTGTGAAAACAGTGTAGGTATTTTCATTTCTTCTCTTCTGGCTTCGCAGCTGCTTTTCCTGTTTGTCTGATGACGGAAGTGGAGAGCTTCAGGTCTATGTTATCGAAGAATTTCTCCGGGTCGTCAACGTCTTTATTCTAGAATGAATCAATCATTTTCAAGGCCGTCCTTTTATTCTAGGAATGAATCAGCATTTGTATTTTTAATTCTATGGGTACCAAACAGTTGAGCAACGTAGGGGGTGAGGGAGACTTTGCCCTGCAACTGGGACCAGACTGCACCGGAGCATGTAACAATAACTATCTTGTCCGATTTCACAGCGGGCAGCTTCTCGTTTGACGGTGACATCCACAGATTTTCCTGGATCCACATTCGAGAAGACGGGATGCACTCTGAATATTTACAGTCTCAGTTTTTTGTGTCGTTTTTCTTCTTCAGTCTTCTTCGTTGGTAGGCACTCACTTGAAGAGCTTATTATCAGATGACTTGATCTTCATGCCTTGCCTTACGTCTGTGATGTTGGTGACGGTCATAGTCTATGAAAGGTCTATATCGATCGCTAGGTTTTTGTGAATATTCAAGTTAAATAACCTGCTGCCCTCCTTTTTCATCCCACTCAAGTTGTGTGGTGCTGAACTTCAGGGGTTTTGCTGAACAAGCCAAGTTATCCAGTTTTGAATTCTGACACTCTCAACTACAGCCTACCTTCTTTGTCACCCTCGGCTTTCGCTGAAAAGAAAATATTTAATAGTATTCATGCATGGATCGGCCGCTCTTGAAAGGTGACTAGACTAACCTGCATCCTCCTTTTTCTCTTCGGGTTTAGCTGAAAAAGTTACGATGTTTATGTCGAAAATATTTAAAGCAACAGTCCCAGCAGGGTTTTTACCTTCGACACTAATGGTGTGGAACGATGCGCTAGCCCTAGTCAAGAACATAAGAAGTGTGACTGAACAAAAACTCACCTTGGAAAGCCGCTAGAAAGGGAGCTGAACGCTTCGAAGTGGGCGTGGTTGTCGGCTGCAATCCCCTCGGCCGATTCCAACCACGCCCACTTCGAAGCCGTTCAGCTCCCTTTCTAGCGGCTTTCCAAGGTGAGTTTTTTGTTCAGTCACACTTCTTATGTTCTTGACTAGGGCTAGCGCATCGTTCCACACCATTAGTGTCGAAGGTAAAAACCCTGCTGGGACTGTTGCTTTAATGATTTTCGTGGATGGATCTGCCGCTTTTTAAATGATGGCTAGACTAACCTGCATCCTTTTTCTCTTCGGGCTTAGCTGAAAAATTGCTATCTTTATGCTAGCATGGTTTCTATATTTTCAAGTCAACTGGAAAATCGCGTATATCATTTGAAAGTACTTTTTCCGCTCTACAATGCACTTGTTTATGTTTTTCGCAGGATTATAAATGGACTCAGATACAGTGCTTTGAAAATAGAAAATATAAGCGGCAGGAATTGGCATTTCGACGGCTGCTATTCTTTGATCTACATAAAGACGAAAGCTGTGAAAAACGCGGAATTTCTTCGAAATCCTCCGTTTTCATAGGACTTTACTCTAATCGGCCATACATTTTTCGTCCAATTTAGAAACCATATTTATGTCGCACAAAATGAGGATAATGAGGACTGCGAAAGATGGGCTCAATATTTTTTTATTCTGAATCCGCTGATTAGGAATTGAAAAGTTGTGAAATGCGAAATCGTAAATAATATAGATGAAAACAGCATGGGATAGTTATGCCGATTGTAAACGCTACTATACTATGCTTACTTACTTGCACTATACTATGCTCCGACCCAATAACTAGTAATTTAATTGTTGATGGATCGCCGTCGTCTTGCCACCCGCCTTCGTTCTACTTAGCCGTTTTGATTGCTTTTTTTGTGCTGCGAGCTAGTGAGTGTATCAACCGCCCTCAACGTCCCGAAAATCACCGAATTCCTCCTTGCCGAGTGTTCAGCAGTCAGGCAAAGTGAGCAATGTACAGGGTGTCCCATAAATATTGCACCACATTTTGAGCTCAATTCTGTGGGCGTTTATAGTTTTTCTTCCGAGATTGGCAGACCTTTCAATCCTCTATCCTCTTGTGAATGACCATGCCAAATTCCACGGCTTACCGTTCGGCCTACATCTCATGGTGCGCATAAACTTCAACAGAGTGGCTGATCCTTCGCACAGCTAGGTCGGGCGTATACTAAGGTATCTGGCCGTTTTGGGGGAGAATGATATTCTTTTCAATAGGACCCAGCTTCTGCATAGGAGGGAGAAATTGTTCAGGAGCGGTGTTGGGCTACTCCTTCCAATTTCACATCCTCAAACGAATGCTCTCTTATTTTTTCAATTCCAACGTGCTGTAACGTCGGCTCCCTTATTTCTTGATTCCAACGTGCTGGACCATCCTATGTGGGCTGTGTTAGGGGACAGAGCCTGCACTAAACATTGCATCCACATGGATGAGCCGGAGCCTTTTCTCTGCAAAGTTTCGAAGAGAACACCCCAGGATGCCATGCGGGCCACAGTAGAGTTGCGTTCGAAGCAATTGGGAGCCATACTCACAACAACAGGGGAGCATATCCAATGAATGTCATTCCTTTCAATATGTAAATGTATTGCTAAAATTTTGTAAAACCTCTTGAAGATACATACCATTTTGAGAGAAGTTACAAGTAAAGAAAAGTGGTGCAATATTTATGGGACACCTGTATAAATGGAATCACTTTTTCACTGTTTCCGAATGAAGTATTGGATTTAGGTTGGTCCCTTTCTATGGTGCGCCACGCACTTTACTCCCAATCAAAATCGTGCTGGCATCTCACAACAGTGCTGTACAAAGCTGGACGCTAATTCTTCGCTTTGCACTCAATGTCTTGCCTATCGGTGCTACCCTTTTCTACTTTATCATCGCGCTGCGCGCGCTAACACGCGCGTCATACAGGACTCCGGCAGTTTAGAACGGGACTGCTTGATCCTCTCTGATCGGTATGTAAGTCACGAGCACGACACCCCTGTAAGGTTTCTCTTCAAACGTTTACCAATTTTTTAGTGGATGTGTAAGGAGCTGGAGAAGGGTTCCGCTCAGCTTACTTGGGCACCGTACATCCTGACCATCACACCGACATAACACACGATACACCTCTTAGTGGTCTACATTGTAGAGTGATATTCCGCGGTGCATACCCTCTTTAGGAGCGCCTTCCTTTGGTTTTTCCTCTGGTTTTGCTTCTCCCTCTTTCT